TAATATTCTCTATATTTCTCTCATGTCGCGAATTGTGGTGATTAAAATCTGCAGGGATATAGCTGGATTAACATGAAATATTGACCTCTAATGACGTCATAAAGTATACGATACTCAGAGAGCATATTGCATGCTGATACACGAACACTCCCAATAAAGATATCTCATATAGGGTCAATGTAATCGTCTTCCAGTTCGTTTGGGAGTTGTCCTATTTGCTAGGATGGCAGATAAAATCGTCCATTCCTGCTTGGTGTCGAAGATTGCCATCGCTCTATCGATCGTCAGTTTGTTGTTGTGCTGTGGTGTGTTCATACGAACAGAATTGGTGCTAAACGAGCTGTATTCAAGAGACATGAAGCTGCCAGACAAGATGATGTCAAAACACGACACGAACGGTGGCATAGATCGACTCAATAAAGATCATGATTTGAAGCGAAGAGTYGACAGAAAGAAACAAGAATTAGAGCAAAATGAAGAAATTCCAAAAAGAAAAGTAAGGGATGTTACAACAGCAGTCAACAGCACTCATAATCTCCTGTCTGAAAAATTATCAAAGAAAGTCCATCAAGAGGTCAAAAAAGCATTTCAAGCTCTCAAGTTTCCAAAACAGGGACCACCCGGTCCACAAGGAAAAGCCGGTCCAAGAGGACCGAGAGGACGCATGGGTAAAACTGGACGTCGAGGAAAACGTGGAAAGATCGGACTTCCTGGTCCCAGAGGAATTCCAGGAACAAAGGGAGATCCTGTTCCTTTATCAGCACCTCCAACAGCAATCATTTCGCCAACACATCTCATCGTCAATGAAAGCCAGTCCGCCATATTCCAATGTTGCTCCGGTGGTTATCCACGACCAACCGTCGTGTGGAGTAAAAACAATGCTACTTTACCACACCAACGAGCAGAAGCTGGTTGCAATGGAAAACTTGAAATCAAACACGTGACCGCCAATGACTCAGGAATCTATCAGTGTAAGGCTTYTAATCTTCATGGCAGCACACAAACAAACGCGACACTTCAAGTGAATTTCCGCCCACGACTGACCTTAAACACACGAACAATCTACAAAACGATTGGCGATAACATTAATCTACCTACGTGTCACGTGGCTGGATTCCCTAAGCCAAAAATCACGTGGTCCAAGGCTTTTGGTAGTTTGTCGAAAAGTCGTTCTGTTCTGAAAGATGGAGGTATTACTATACTTAATGCGAAGAAAGAAGATTCCGGAGCGTATGTTTGTAAAGCTGAAAATATTCTTGGTTCTGTTCAARGCTCTGTTGTGGTTAATTTAACCGATCTTCCTGTGTTTGTTGTCAAGCCTCCATCTTCGTATATTGCCCCTCCTGGTTCAACCGTTATGCTGAAATGTTCCGCTAAAGGTGATCCCAAGCCGTTCATCAGTTGGAGAAAAGACAGCAGTCTTCTTCCTGCTGGTAGATATGAAGTGAAAGATGGATCTTTGATTATAAGGAACGTCAAGAAAACAGATTCGGGTGTGTTTGTGTGCAATGCTGCTACTCTGGCGAGTTCTGGCATTTTTAATATATATGCAGGTACGAAATTGACTGTACAACATGCAAAAGATTGCGCAGATCTTTACAAATCAGGAGAAAGACGTAACGGTGTTTACACAGTTCAACCCGACAACAAACGTGCCTTCAAAGTCTATTGTGACATGACAACTGACGGTGGGGGTTGGACTGTGTTCCAAAGAAGACAAGATGGATCGGTTGATTTCTATCGCAATTGGTGGCAATACAAAACAGGTTTTGGAAACCTGAATGGCGAGTTTTGGTTGGGTAACGATTACATCCATCGACTGACAGCAAGAACAGCATCGAGTTTGCGCGTTGAGTTAGAGGACTGGGACAGAACCAGGAAATATGCCAAATATGGTAGTTTTAGTGTTGGTGATGAATCAGACAAGTACAGGCTGAGGGTTGGCTCGTATTCAGGTACTGCTGGGGACTCGTTRRYACSTRSWCATAWCAAYATGGCGTTTAGTACAAAAGATAGAGATAACGACAAGTGGAGTGGTAACTGTGCTACATTTCATACAGGTGCCTGGTGGTATAATTCTTGTCATTATTCTAATCTGAATGGAAAGTATCTGGTAAGCAAGAAGTATACCGAAAAGGCATTGGCTTGGCACGACTTTCATAACCTCTATATTAGCTTGAAAAAGTCCGAAATCAAGATTCGTCCAACAATCTTTTAGCATTGTGAAGGTGAACATTTACTCGAATTTCTCGAGCACTTCGAAGTAGATTACAAAGTATGTTTTGTCAATTTTAACCATATCTTGAACATCACTACACTAGATATTTCAAAAAGTGCTTTTGTAAGCGTTCGACTCAAAAAAAATGCTCGGCAATCCATTTGCTACGCACGCTAACCTAAGTGAAGCTCCACAAAATTGCTAGACATAGCAAGAAAATAATCCCCTTTTAACAGGTCAACTGATTGAACCAATAAAAATGTGGTTTTGTTTAATTAAAACTGAACTTAGTCATCTTTTGGGCACGAAATTTAATTGTATTTGAACTAATGTTTTGAAAAATGTCCAATATAGTCTTTTCCGTAAACATTACTTTTCGTCTTTTTTTAATTTTTTAAAAAGGCGAAAGACGGGTGGATAGCCGCGGATCAATTATTTTGACATCCATCACCTATTTTCGTTGTCTTGTGTGTCTCACATTTACTTGTGACTATGAAATAAAACCGAATGAGAAGATTGGAAACTAGTTCTCATTAGTTCTTTATTCAGTATTCTGTTGTGAAATAAGATCAATAWTTTGTTTAATTTTTGATCATTAATGGCTTAGACGTACAGTACAGCCCAGCTTGAAAAGGTTATCCACTTAGAGAGACATTTTAAACGTTCCAAATGTCACGTGTCTTGGTGTGCACTCACTTTCTGCACGTGGAACATCGTCTCTAATGTCTTTATAGAGTTTTAACTGTATACCAGGTCATGGTCTTGTTTTTTCAAGGACATTTAATTTTCACTAATCATGTAAAAGATACTGTATTTCAAATGAATAAAAGTTCTTTTAACAGATTATTTKCTT